TAAGTATATATCGATAAATTACCGTACGGTATCGTCGGTATGTACAATGCATATAATAATATGTACTTGTATTCAAGGAACATCTTCGGCTACGTCTCTACGTTTCTTAAATGTATATTTTATCAGTCGTTTTCCCATTCCCATTCCCATTACGAAATACCATTCCCAACTACTGTTCTGTTTCCCAAAACCAATACCAATACCATTACCAATTCCCAATACCAATTCCCGATTCCCATTCCCAGGGTTTATTATTACCCCGGAATCTATCTATTGCAACAGTGCAACACTGAATCCAGCTAAATCAGATTTATATTTGGCTACGCGGTAGAGCATGTAAAGCTGATGACAATTGCACATAGCGTCTGCTTATAACTATGTGCGCCGTGCATGCATGCATGCGTGACATTTTGTGTAGCTATTAAAGAGCACATGCTCGTATTATTGATGAATCGAGCCGCCTGCCTCAGTGGCATAACATCCATTATCATGAGCACTCTGAGTCTGATCAGCGAGCAGTTATGTCTAATTTATTTTTGGAACCCTTAATTTTAATTATAAATCATTAAATTTTGAAACTAATCGTGCAGTACTTGCAAAATGCAACTGTTCCCTCCGTCGACGACCACATTTCTAGCCTTTATCTTGTGAGTTACCCTAATATACCTAATTAGTTCCATAACTACGTATCGCTCCACTACCAGTACGTTGGAAATTGCTTCTGAGTATCTCGATCTAAACGTTTCGACGACCTACAAGTGCTCCACTGCAGATCTTGACCGAATTAGTTTGTTAATTTTTCCTACTGCATCCTGCAATCACTGAAATCCGCATTTCTTTGGCAGTTTGTACGGTAAGCTGCAGCCTGTAGAACAAATAAATTTATTACAATTTGTATATCATTATATCGTACAATTGGAAAACTAAAATTATATCTATATCCTATATTCTTTGCAGTACCCACGATTTACTGTTAATTTTAGCAAGTCAAGAAATACTACAATTACTATAAAGTGCAAACTGTTGCAGATGCTGTAGATACAACTTTTGCTCATATTTCTAAAAAATTTAAAGCAACACTGCAACAGGATCATACTCGTACAATGTACGACAAAAAGAGGTTGAACCGATCAGTCGGTCCGCGGTTCAAAATAACCTCGCAACGACACGCCACCACTAAAACTTGGACGCTTACTTACTACTTTCAGACGCTCGCGCTCCGTGAATATCAAAGTGCAGCTATACGAGTTGCATATCAAAAGGTGTAGAAAAAAATTTTTTGATACTAAACCTGTGGCTGTTTATGGCGAACAGCACAAATTCTAGCCATTTTGCTTTCTCGTAGGCACAGCATAGGATCTGTGCGCATAACCGTTTGTCTTGCAATCAATGCTTAAGTCTATGGGAAAGCAAAATGGCTAGAATTTGTGTTTTTCGCCATAAACAGCCTTTCGCGACGTGCTTGATGATGAATTAACGGTGTGCCCTGAGTTTGTTACTTGTTGCTAAACACAGGGTGTAATGCTCTGAAGAACTGCTGGCATTGTCGCCTGCGCACCGAGCGAGATGGCTGCATGTATACTGCCATAATTAATTCATTATTGCCGATGCGGACACGCCGGCGCAGTGGACAGCGACGGCGTGGTCGCCAGTGCTGGCACATCAGGCCAGCACGATCAGTCAACCGGCGTTGGGGTGCAGACAGTTAAACTGCGTTCCAGCGAAACGATCCCCTGCTCAACCGGTTATGTGGACGGCGACCGCGACTTCTTCCCCTTTGACTCCACAGAGGTCACGGCGCGCCAGATCCACATGGGCAGCGTCTGGTCGTTGCCGTTCTACAGGGAGACTTCTGGCAACCGAGTTTGCGACAACGTCCCAGCGTGCGTGGCACTGAGTGACGAAGAGAGCGGGCCGTTGCGCTTCCCAGCCCGGCGTCTTTTTCGGTTACCACCAGCAGACGTAAAACGCTGTAACTCTTAACGGCCAACTCAAATGGTGTCTTGCGCTTACCATTCTGTGGGACAAAAAGGGAATTCTTTTTCTGATGCCGGCTGGTGTCCTCATCCGGCAGCACGACACCATCACGGAGCAGAATTTTTTTCACTGTTTGTTAGCAAACGCACCACATTTGAAACTCGCTTGCAAGCGAGTTGTATGAATTAGCGACGACTATTTGTACAAACGGACAAGTGCCGTGCCATTCGTTTGTGCTAAGCATTTGAATTACTTTCGCAAAAACGTGTATCATCTTGATACATCTGTTTTTCTCAATAGCCTTTAACTTTTGAATTCTGTAAACATGGTAGGAAGTACGTACGCCGGCATAGCATACCACGGAAGAAAAATGCAAAATTGTAGTTGTGTGCTGTCTGTAGTTCGTTTTTAATTGTGATCCATCAGTTTTACTTTTACGACATCGGGCCATTAAGGGTTCGGACTGATCCCATGTTATCGAATAGATGTTGATGGGCAAAGTTACTTATGTGGCTTTTTTAATAAATTCAATACATATGTACTGTTCTGCAGGTTCCTTGCTCGTAAAGATTTCAGTGTCACCTTTCTGCATCAATCGTTGACCGGCGTACGAGCAAGAGCTATACGAGTATCGTTCGACTACCCTAGCTAGCTTTCAAATCTTGTTGCGGTCGGGAGTATTTCTGTCACAATGACTGCAAGAAGCGCGGGACCGTCGTTTCGACGCCTGTTGGCGGGCCCCAAGGGAATCAACTACCTGAACACCGTGGTGGTGTGGATCGAGAACTGGACATATTGGTTGGGATACATCCAGGACATTTGGGAAGAATACGTCTACGTTGATTTCGACTGCTCCACAGTCGGTGCCTGCTGGATTCACTCTTCGTGCGTGTGGCCGCTGCAGTACTGGCAAGACAGCCCAGGCTACTCTTTTCGTAATTATCGATCGACACCGATATTTGTCGCGCTGCGCGATGAGCCCGGCGGACCTTTGCGTTTCCGCTCAGCTGTGGCTGTATGGGATTCGGATAGGGAATGCGGCAAGACATACATCCGTGCGGAAATAGTGGAAGAAGGCAGCGAATCTCCGGTTGCGGGCGGCGTGGAAGTAGTGGACCACTGGCAAGCGATCAGCCGGCTGCCCTTTGACGAGCCTTCGCTGCTGGGCCGAACTGAAGGACTGCTGTACATTAAGCACGTGATTCCCTTGACCAGAGCGCAGTTGGCCGTCAACACAGCTGCCGACGCAGCACGCCTAATTCAAGAGCTTCTTGACGCGTACAGAACACAGGCATCGGTGCATCTGTTGAATGCGGACTTACGTAAGCTTTGTCGCTTTCATCTACGCATCGGCGAGGATGGATGCACGGTGATGATTATCGCCAACCGGACCGACAGCGACGCCACGGAGCGGACGCAGCAAATGTTGTTGCGCATCTTGGAGAACCATGCGTCTGCCACAGGACATCCGCCGGCAATGGCTCACATTAGCGATAGCACGGGAATGCCGTGCGCCGTACAGTTAGGTCAGTGTTTGATGAGTGGACTAAGTATGTACATTATGGACTGCACATTAAGTACACTGAATGCCTGCCTACATTAGCCACGGGACCATGGAAGCAGGGAGCCGCATCGCGTGCATTCGTTAGCCAGGACACTGCCAACTGGCGAAACCGTGCTTTTGCACTGCAATGTAGTGAGTAAGTGTATGCTGTTGTCCCACAGGTATGGAGTCCGACACCGTCGACCAAACAGCCGCCCTCTCTCACCTTCCGCCGGAAATCTCCCTGGCCATTCTGACTGGTCTGGACGTGCACAGTCAAGCGAACGCTAAACGGTAATGTCGAGCGCTGCTGCTCTACAACTGTACCTGGTTGTTTTGCCGTGTTCGTGGCCGTGTATATCTACCGAGTAATCAGTCCTTTTAATTTACCGCACAGAATGCTAGATGAATCGTTGACCAAGTTTACCAGACTGCAATGCTGCAAAAATTGAAGTTACTCGTAAGATGCTGCTGCGCGCTTTTGCCAGGTGTTCACTTCTCAAAAGTAAAATTGCAATTGAGGGACATGATTGTAACAAAACGGTAATAGTAATCGAAAAGGTCACAGTAGCATACGTTAATCATGTAAAATGTCTGGTAGAGCAAACGTCTAAGCGGTTTCAGTGTTTTACATAGTACACTCTCGAGTAACACTGCTAAATTTAGTAATCGATCTAGACGTGAGCAGAAATAAAAGTATCAGCAGAGTCAGTTGCACACTGCAGTGTTCCGGTAGGGTGTGCGGCCTGTGGCAACGGATACTGAGCGATCCCTGCTCGGGGGAGCATCTCACAGTTCTGGTGGAAAACGTAGAAGCGACCGAAAGCGATGATCACCGGTGCTATCATACAGCCTGGATGCTCATCCGAACGATAACAGCCGCCACGAGGAGCGTGGCCATCGTAGCTCGCCAAGATAACCCGCACAGTAAAGGCATCGACAACCGTGCCATGATGTGGGAGTGGCACATCTTGGACTTAGCAATAAACATTAAATGGGCCATGAACATCATGCCGCCGTGGGTGGTGCTAAAATCCTTTCAGTTGGAATATAACAATACGGGCTATGTTGATGATAATCTGGAATTTCTACGATTACATTGTCAACGATTCGTCATGCTCAACTGTAGACTGTCAAAATGGTTCGCTTATTCGCTGTGGAGAGTCATCTACGATCCGTCGATATTTCCTCCACTGATACCGCTACCGGCACGCGAGCGACGCTTCCTCGTTCCCTTCGACTTACGCAGACAGAAGTTGCCCATTGACAATATGGAAATCCGATTAGACAAGCTGGTTATGCAGTGTGCGGACGAGCGGGAGCACTTCATCAGTCGCTTCATGTGGGGCGTAGACGCGCACTGTGTGCCCATCCCGGAGGAAGTGTACAGCAGAGTGGCGAAGGTGCACGCGCGCTGGCAGCGCAGTCTGGCGTACCCAGCTGAATGGCAGACCATCCGCAAGTACCTCAGCATGTAAGTGCTTCCCTCGCTCAGTCGTACGTAGTAACTGTTATGTCGTTTGGAACCGTGGCCCTTTAACAGATACACCGAGCATCTGCAGCTGCTTAGGTATTGTCTGCAGGTACAGCGGATTCCATGCCGACGGCAGTCCACGGACGTGGGACGATGTGGACCTCAGGAGGATGGACGTGCGCCAACTGAGCAAGCAGGCGCTCCTCAGCATCGACGCGGCGTTTGGCGTTCGGCCTTTTACCGGGAGTTCTGTCAGCACTGCGAACCAATCTTAACCATCCCCGTTTCACTACCAGCCAGCTTTAGCATGCCAAGCTGTAATTATTGTTACCCTTGCCGGAAATGGGCTACCTTGCTCGAATAAGACTAATTAGTGAATTAAATAAAAAGCTCAGCGCACCACCAAGCCACTGGTGGGCGTGTAACTTTTTATTAATATTTTTCTTTATTATTAGTACCGAACTAAAGGAGTCAACTCCTTTTAATGCAGATATCGTACCGGGCTCTTGAAAATTGTTTTGGTTAATTGTCTTCTACGCTTTTCGGTTTGGTTGTATGAGCTGATAAAAGTTACCCAACTTACTTACAGAAGCCAGGGAGTGCAATCTTAAAACCAGAAGAAGGATCACCATGCTACGGAGAATAACATACTAACCAGGGGTCCAGGGTACATTTTCCCCCTCCAAATTCAAAAAATTCTCATGTTTTGTGAAATGGTAGTTACTACCGTACTAACTGTAGTATGCTTAAAAATATTTTTATCTGCCATCGTCAAGGGGGAGTGGCAAGACAAAAGTTAGAAGTCTGCATGCTATCACTTACTGTGTAATGCAGTGCAGTATAAGTTATTCGTGATTATTATGTTTAACCTTTTGCAGCAGCACCGTGGTCTTTCACACAGCTGTCGCGTAGGATGTTAAAAAATATGCCCACTTGCTAGGGCTCGTGCCATTGCTGTCTTAGAGCATATTTTCGAAAATTTTTTATGAAGCGCAGCAGGTATGTGCTTGTTATTAGTACGGAAAGATTGTTTGCATAGCTTATTGTTTTTATTGTTTACAATTCTAATCGATGAACAATTCTTGAAAACGTGTACTCAAGCTGCAATGGCACGAACGCAAGTGGGCCTCTTTAATATCCCTACTTGACAGCTATCAGGCGTACGAGTCTGCGCGTGGTGCTCCGCCCATATGTGGCGTATTGCAGATTTCGACCAGGAAACGGCGGATTTCCGACCCGCAACGGTGGACAGCCATTTGAAACCGACACCGACACCGACACCGGTAAACTCGTGGTTTTAGGTCGACTTTGGTCGGAAATAGGTTGAATCTTGACTTCTCAACGGCCAAAATTAATTCCTAACACTAAATTTAAACTTTCAACGGATAGAAGTAAATTCTTTCGGAGAAACCGACCCAAAATTTTACTTTTGTCGGAGAAACCGACCCGTTAGGTCGACAAACTCAGCTAACAAAGGCTAACCGACAACAGGACGGAAATTGCTGCCTTTCTCATTTCTAACGGCGTTTTAACCGTCAGAAAAATTCTAAAATTCCTAAAAACTATTTCTAACGTATTAGAAATCAAAATTTCGACCAAATAAACTTTTTGGCCAACCGAAAATCAATTATTTTTCTTGCAAAAAATAGCGCGAAAATTCACAAATTTCCTTGTGACGTCAGAACGACCGGATTTTAGTACTTAGAGGGCAGCCAATCAGCGTGCAGAGGAAACTTCCCATAGCTTAACATAGGCGTAATTCATCGTTTTTGTGACTTTTGCACGCGGCTCGCATTCTGTGGCGTATGCAGTAAAGTGCAAGACCACTTAAACCTGTGACGTCATACTGGTCAGCTCAGTAGTACAGGACGTACATTCAGTATACAGAGTCATCAACAGACAACAATAACATCTCGTCGGACGATCCTGACCCACGGAAGTTCCTAAACAAAAGGAAGTTCCTTATTTCATCGAACATCCCCAAAGAAGGGATTGTTCGATTTAACGGTTAGAAACAACAAGTTTTTAAGGTTCAACCGGAACTGACCTGCTTTAAACCTCGATTCGATAACAATGTCGAATCCCAGGAAGAATAAATACGCCAGGGAGTATAACAACAGTTACTCCCGGCGTATATTCGTGACGGGCCCATACCAACTGCGGCACGCCGGTAGGGAATGAAGTCAGTTGTCCTCAACGGAATCAGTCAAGTGGGCTGAGGCAAGGGAGAAACGCAACGAGCGGATCCTCCTCGCCGACTCAAATCCAACATCGGGCGACAGTTTCTAGGACGCTTGGGATAAAACATTCCTTGAGCCCCAGGCTGACTCGGCAGCCCCTCCCACCCGACCGGAGGGATGCGGTTAAGCTGCGACAACATTGTCTTATGCCGGTCACGAGTGCTCATACGACGCACCGACCACTACAGACCCAACCGAAGGAACTCAAGTGTGCTCACAGGAAGCTTAAGACCCGGTAGCGACAACGACAGCCGCCGAGGCCGGACGCGAATCACCCAACTCGACGAGTGAAGCACAGAAGCCGACCTCCGAAGTCGGTCAACATCAACCGACAAAGGAAGTCGACCAACAGAAGGTCGACCAACCACTTATCAAAGAGGTCGGCCAGAAGTACCCGATCAAGGAAGTGGGTGTGAAGTCTATCAATATTGTAGTTAATGTTTATTAATTAACCACACACGAGTACGACAACTGAATGAATGATTGAAGTATAACACTAGTAAATACAGTAGTACTACACTGACAACATTGCTACGACAATACGCAATTATGTACGTACACTACAGTCGGTCAAACCCAACCGACCAGCCTGGAACAGAAATCAACCGTCAACAAGTCGGAAATTGGAGTCCAGCCGACCAAACCAACGGTCAGAAAGGAAGACATCGAGGCACCGCCACGAAGCGGCCTTCATCCAGGTGGATCACCGACCAACATACCGGCATCTATCGAAAGAGCCATTTCTCCGTCAAGTCGATCTTCGCCGACCGAAGGCAAATCGACTCGAGCAACAGAAGCTCAACCAACGGGTGAAGTCGACTACGTCGTCGACAAGTCGACCTGTCGACTTATCGAGGAAATCAATAAGTCGCCCTGTCAGCGTACCAATGAAGTTAACACCACCCATGCTCGAACTGGGCGGATCGGGCAGAGAGGGAACTCCGTCACCGACTGGCGAAGTTATCGGCCCGACGGAATCACCTCCCAACAGTACGGACGGTCTCTTCCAAACGCCAGAGAAGTCCCACATGGACATCACAGATACCAAGCCAGTGCACTTGAGTATACGGCACGGAAGTCGATTTCGGCAACACCGCCGGAGAAGATGCAGGATATCAACAAACTCCGAGAACGATGTCACAACTGATCACACAGATCGTGTTGGCCGACAAGATTGTGAACTCAACGGAAGTTTCGTGCGCACAGTCGGTAGAAACCGATCGAACGGAAGAAGTGGAAAACTGAGACGGCAGCGGCCAACCAAGGCAATTGCCGACCAACAACGCGAAATCGACCGACTGAGAGCCATACTTAAGCGCGTCGACGGACTATGTCGACATGACATTGACGAAGTAGCCTTACTTAATGGCAAGTTGGATCGGTCAACGGCTGCCGTCATCTAACTGAAGAGACAACTTGCCGACACGGAAAAGGAACTAGCCGATATACAAACAGCACTGGTCGCCTCAGAACAGGCAGCCGGACAGTTCCATGAAATGCTGAACCGAGCTAATAAAAAAGCCGAAGTCTATCGAAACGAAGTCGATCGGTACATAGTCAAAATGCAGCATGCCGACAACGAGGTCGACCAGCTCCTGCTACTGACTGACCGACTACAAGCGGAGTTAAAAATCCTTCTGGCAAGGAGCCGACAACAAACGCCGACTCACTCTGGCCATATCCGACCTCCACTGACCAGAAGACAGCCATCGCCGACTTGGAAGAAGCTAACACACAGTTAGCCGACCAAGTAAACGGATTGAACGACTACCTCAAAGAGGAGCAGAAACTCCGAGCCGAGCCAGGACGGTTTATGGAACGAAGTGGTTCCCACCCGGAGATTTGAGACCCGAATCGTTTGAACATGCGAGGATTCGACTTCTGTTGAGCGAGACCTCGGTCGCCTAACTTGGCCGACCAGGGCGCATATAACGACCAACAAGAGTCGATCCGCAGTCCAGCCGGCTACCCCCAAACAACAAGGTCGGGCGCCGCTGTATCGACCAACAGAAGGCCGACTGCATCCAAGAGGAATCCAACCTAACTCGTATGGCAGAGTTAACGATCTGCCAAGGGAATTTTATCCACTATCACCGTGAATGATACCGTTGCAATCGGCATTTCGTTCCCCTTTTTTCGACCGCTTACTAATTATTTATTTAACTGCACATTATTAGCTAAAGTTATTTATATATTGTACATTCGCTGTGTTGGAGCGGATTTATTACTGGATTTCCCGAGTATTACTCCACCTTCTCCTTCCCCACGACGGCGGTGCGGCGCTGGAGCGACGAAGTGGTCCCCTTGAGCGATTTCCGCAGCGCCCTACCGCCAGCCGGCGACCCCTTCGAATGCCGCTACGTGAACCTGCAGCACCCCTTCGATCTCTTGCAAAACATCGCCAAGAGCGTCTCGCTGACTACTTTCGTGGTGCTGCTGCGCTGGCTGTGGGAGGAAGTCGCCGTCTTCCACCTGCGCGCTCTGAACCTTCTCCAGCTGCTGGAAACGTAGCACGAATATGTGGCGCCGTCGCCCGTCATGCTGCAGCTGTGGACCGGCGCCGCCGCGATTCCTTTTGACCAATGGGCGCCCCAGGTCACGGAGTTGGTGCGCCGGAGGATGGTGAAGTTCCTCAATGTGACTGCCCCCTGCAGGCGGCCAAGGGTAAGTTGGAATTTGCTTTTGCCATTAATTGGTTATCTGAACCAGTTTCTTTGCATTTATTTCTAATCATTTTCTCATTAAATGGTTTTAATGATTTACGTTTTTGTAGCTTATCACTTTTGTAATTTACAGCTTATCATTGATGGCTAATTTGTGCGACTTCCCGCTCCAGGTGGCCAGCGGTGAGTGACATTTTCTTCTCCAGCAATGGATTTTCTGAACCAATTAAATTAGTTTTATTTTGGTCATTTGTGTATGCACTGATTTTAATAATGTACGTTTTTGTAGTACATTACTTTTGTAATTTACTGCTTATTATTGGTGGATAATTTGTGCGACTACCCGCTCCAGGTGGCCAGCGGTGAGTGTGACATTTTTTCTCCATTAATCGATTTTCTGAACCAATTAAATTAGTTTTATCTTGGTCATTTTCTTATGCACTGATTTTAATAATTTATGTTTTTGTAGTACATTACTTTTGTAATTTACTGCTTATTATTGGTGGGTAATTTGTGCGACTGCCCGCTCCAGGTGGCCAGCGGTGAGTGTGACATTTTTTCTCCATTAATCGATTTTCTGAACCAATTAAATTAGTTTTATTTTGGTCATTTTCTTATGCACTGATTTTAATAATGTATGTTTTTGTAGTACAGTACTTTTGTAATTTACTGCTTATTATTGGTGGGTAATTTGTGCGACTGCCCGCTCCAGGTGGCAAGCGGTGAGTGCGACATTTTTTTCTTCATTAGTTGATTTTAGTAGGCCAATTAATTTAGATTTGTTTTGGTACTAGTAATTTTTTCATGCATTAATTTTACTAATTTATGTTTTTGTAGTACAGTACTTTTGTAATTTACTGCTTATTATTGGTGGGTAATTTGTGCGACTGCCCGCTCCAGGTGGCAAGCGGTGAGTGCGACATTTTTTTCTTCATTAGTTGATTTTAGTAGGCCAATTAATTTAGATTTGTTTTGGTACTAGTAATTTTTTCATGCATTAATTTTACTGATTTATGTTTTTGTGGTACATTACATTTGTAATTTACTGCCTATTATTGGGGGGTAATTTGTGCGACTGCCCGCTCCAGGTGGCCAGCGGTGAGTGCGACATTTTTTTCTTCATTAATTGATTCTAGTAGGCCAATTAATTCAGATTTATTTTGGTACTAGTAATTTTTTCATGCATTAATTTTACTAATTTATGTTTTTGTGGTACATTACATTTGTAATTTACTGCCTATTATTGGTGGGTAATTTGTGCGACTGCCCGCTCCAGGTTGCCAGCGGAGATTGTGACCTTTTTCCTCCAATAACTGATTTTCTAAACTGATTTATTTGCATTTAATTACTATTTTTTCGTAAGTTATTTTTAATGATTTATGTTTGTTAGTGTAATATTTTTCTAATTTGCTGCTAACTATTAGTGGCTGATTTGTGTGATTGCCCGCTGCAGGCGGCCAACGGTGAACTGAAAAGTTTTTCTCTATTAATTGATTTTTAAGCCGATTTATTTGCATTTATTACTCGAGTCTGTATTTCTGTCCGTTTTCGTACAAATTATTTTTATTATTTTATGTCTTTTTAGTATGCTATTTTTGCAATTTACTGCTTATTATTGGGTGCAGGTTTGCAGATCTTGTTGTGGAAATGTAAGTTTGGGCATCATTTTTCTTGAATGTTCTCTGCATATTTTATACCGTTTAATAAATAATTTAATTGCTTGCTGTTTTTCGATTATGTAGTTTATGAACTATGCAAGCTCTGAGTTGTATTAAAAAATAATGTTTTAATAATTTTTTTGCAGTTTGAACTTTCTGAACCTTTTTGTTTAATTTTGAATAAATTATTGGCGCTCGAGGAAAAAAATCGCGAAGTTAAATTTGTCTTGGATGTTCCTTCGCCAGATGGCTAGCAGGTTTTTTGTAAATATCAAATGTTGCTGCATTATTCGTGAATTCCTAATTTTCTTGACAGATATATTTTCTGGAGATTGTTCTATGAATTTATTTTTTCTTACAAAGTTCTTGAATAAAATAATTTGATTAATTGAATAAGGCGGACTGTTGAGTGTGCATTGTTTTGTTTTCCATGCTGCAGATGGCGTGGCCAGCATCAGCTGCGAAACGCGGCGTTTTCAGCAGATCGGGCGGATTGTGGAGGAATTGGAGTGCCGCCTGCAGCAGCGCACCTGGCTGAACCGGCGCACCTACCGCAAGGCCGTGCTGCAGAAGCGGCCGGGGACGCTGCTGGGTCTGGAGGAGCAGTGGCGGCTGGAGTGCCAGGTGGCCGAGCGAATCGCCGAGACTGCCGGGCGGCCGGTGGACCTGCACTTCCGCCTCACGCTCCTCCACAACGCCGTCGAGACGGAGCGGCTCTGCATCTTCCTCGCCGCCGAGGAGTCCTCGAATGATCTCCAGTAAGAACGCATTTTCAACTGTTTCAGCACAATAGTTACGCGAGAGATTCGCTTCAATAGGAAATTGATTTTTGGTGTTTTTTTCTTGAATTTTTATCGCGTATTTATCCGATTATCTTCTGTATGTATAGCCAAGTTTACTTTTTTTCCAAAAATCGCTATTTTATTCCGTACGCAAACAGCAGATTTTCCACGATCATAATAATTGTACGCTGAAGCGTACACCGTTACATTCGTTAAGTAACGGACCAACGAGGGTATCATTTATCGCCGACTGACCATGAAAACAGCCACGACAGTATTTTTCTTAGTAACGTTTTATGACGGCAATGTGTACGCTTCGCATGCCGTATACAACATGGAACAAAAAAACCACAGCCCCTTTTAAAGAATACGCCAGTCAAAAAAATAAACCTTCCCGCTAGATCTAAAAACATCCATAAAAACACCGTCCAGTACTAAAAAAATATTATAACACAGTCGGAAAAAGATCCATACACAGATTCTGTTGACGTTTAATAACCACAGTCGAGACGAATTTTCGAATTCTAGACTTGAGAAATTAATTCTGTTAATTAACGCCCGCTCAAATCCTTCCGCAGTTCAATGGCGCTGCAACAAAAAAGCCACAATTAACACTAAGAAAACAATGTCCTTGATCATAGCTCAATAAGAAATTTAGAAACTCCTGATGATTTCAATTTAATCCGACTTTTAACAGAAGTAAATATCAATTAAAAATTCATTTCTGAAATAGCAATTTTGGCGCTCGATCGGGATGCAATAATTATCGAAAAATAGAAATTCACAACGACGTGAAAAAGAGAGGGCGAGAAAAATTAATTATCCATAATAAAGCCAGAAAAACTCAAAATGCTATAAAATAATGTATTTTATAAGAGAGAAATAAAGGGAAAGTAAAGTAAAGGAAACTAAAGTAAAAAGTAACAGCGAGAAAAACACATTTTTCCTTAGAATAATTGCTAAATCATTTGGAAATAATTATCTGGTAATTATTATGTAACAACGATTACTACGTAATTATCAGGTAATTATTAACGATTAAATAAAAAAAAAATTTCATCGCACAAATTTAATTGTAAAAAATAAAACACGTTCCGGAAATATTGCTAAATTCCTCGTATTTATTAAAAACAATCGGGTAATTATTATGCAGAAATATTTACTAATTATCGGTTAATGAGTAAGGATTAAAATCCAAATACTCCGCACCTACTACGTAAACTACACGAAATAAACAAACCAGATTCCCAACTAACTGCGAAAGTACTTGTTTTCCGCTGTATCGGGTACCCATTATGCGAAAATTATTATTAATTATCAAGTGATAATTAACGATTAAAATATGAAAAAAACTCAGCACGCATATTTACTACACCAGATAAAACAAACCACATTCCGGAATAATTGCTAAATTGTTGTGATAATCATCAGAGGATTATTACCATTAAAATTGAAATAACGTTAAGCCATGTCTGTACAACTAATAAATTAAGCAACCAGTATAAATAAAATCAGTAACCGGATAAAACATGGATGTTGGCTTACCGTCGTTCTTTACAGAAAAACTTCCGCATCCACATCCATTTCCGCCACTTCGTCCTCTTCTAACATGTTTTGGTCCAAAAACTGCGGGATAATCACTGGAGATTCTAAGAAAAACAGTAAAAACGGTCAGAATGGCTAGCAGAATAACAGCTGAAAAATCCCAGATATCACTGCTGGTTATACCTGGAGCGGCACGGACGCACGCCACACTATTCTGATACAACCGCTCGTCCACAATCGCATTAGGCTGCAGGTATGAAATGCCATTTCCTTCATTATTGAACGTTCTGCAAACAAACATACATCAGCTGCACACGTACACATCACTGACGAAATGTAGCTTACATTATTGTAAGGTGTCAGTACACGTTGGGTTTACGGGAACACTAAACATATGTCGTATACGGCAGTACGATTGTAGTGCACTGGCTTCTAATGCTTAAGCACACATTGTAAATGAAACCTGCGCCTCCTTCCGTCGCGGCTCAGTTATCTGATTATCTCATCCGTGGCGTAGCGCGCCGCAGTATGCACAAATAGCCCAACACAATAAATCTCGGATTAATCGCAGCTGCAGCGCAAACTTGCTTAAGAAACATGCTTTGACTGTACTTACTGTCTTTTGTTGCCCATGGCTTTGGGAATGTCGCGAAGTCCCGGAAGGGGCTGGATGCGGATACGGAATAATCCTGATTCTGTGGGAAACCATAAATTGGGAGCGGTAATCTGCCCAATCTGATCATCCAAAACGTGCAGACGGAAGCGCTGAATCAGCTCGTTTACATGTCTATTGCGGTCCATAAGAAAATCAGCCGCTTCCTGTTCGTCTACAAACCAATGACACTTTAACACGTGCCGGTCATTACAACAAGCACTGCAGGACTTACTGATCTGAAATTCTAAGTCCTGTCGGGGCAACTCCAGCGGACCACCGGGAACCGCGGGATTGGCCGGAGGTTGGACGCCGGGGAGACGTTGGCGCGCGCCACCACCGGCACCTGGCGGCAGACCACCCGGGGGCGCCCCCTGCATCCGTCCCTGTACCGGTTGTCCGCGCAAGATGGGAGGCGCCGCGGGCGGTCCGCGCAGGATGGGAGGCGCCGCGGGCGGTCCGCGCAGGATGGGAGGCGCCGCGGGCGGTCCGCGCAGGATGGGAGGCGCCGCGGGCGGTCCGCGCAGGTTGGGAAGCAGCGCCCACTGGAAGAGAGGCAGTGCCGGCGGTGGCCACATCAGCGGAGGCATTGCTGGCGGTGCCCACAGAAAGGGAGGCGGGACCGGCGGTCCGCCCAGGATCACACCTGGCGGAGGCGGTTCCGGAGGACGTGGAGTTCCCTGTGTCACCAGCATGATAGGGGGGTGCGCCGAGGCCGGATACGGACGGATCTGACCGCGGATATCCGGGAAGAACCGGGTCGGCGGGGGCGGGGCCGAGGTCGGCGACGGGCCGCCGAAAGCGCGCCCAAACTGGAAATAGCCGGATGATGAGGGAGCGGCCTGGGTCTCCATTCGGGGCGGCCCTCGACCAGCCGGATTTTGGTGAACATCGGTGCCCGGTGTCCGGGGGCGCAGGCTGGAGTGGCGCTGTACCACCTGGACAGCGTCCGTCGGCTGGGAGCTTCCTGGATGGCCGGGGAACGGATCGGACCTGATGGCAATAATTGCGCTAGTTTATTATGACTCGCATGTCTGAACATATGCAAAACTGTCTGCTCAACGAGAAACTGAATATATTTGTACGCAGGTATATGAAGGAGCGTAATTTGTAAGTACGCATAAATTCACCAACTGATTTCGTTAATGACTTTGAATTTATTAATTTTCATAACAGACAGTCGCTACGCGGTATCACTGGTATTTACTGTACGCGTGTCTTAATTGCTGTCAATGTGCGAAAAGTAAAGGTGAAAGAAACGGTTTAATTGAAACATCAATCCGGTATAAATGTAGTTTAATGTACTTTATCAGGCACATTAATTCTGATAAATATTGTACTCGTACTTTACACGGTAATACGAGTCACGAACGATACTAGTCGTGTCGTACCAGTACAGTAATTAACGTTAAAAGGTAACAAATCTAATTCATGAAATCTTTTAACAACACATTAAATAATCGAAATAATTATTCTAATTATTATTAACTTCTAATTATTAATCGGAATAATTAATATTAATCGAATAATTATAACTGGCACTCACGTAATATGATAATCTTAAATTCAGTACTGCAGCCAAGAAAATTTACTCGTGAACAGCGGTATAATCGACCTTCACCGAACTGCCGAATATTCATTTTTTATATTATTATTTATACTGCATAAATTTGGTACACGTACCGGTTGTCCACCTGTGCAACGGGGAAGGGTTCCATCGGGGTGGAGCGAAGCGGCTGCGGTCCCGGCCCACTCCCGGGCGGATATCCCGACGTCATGCGCATTCCCTGATCGCCGAGCACGCCGGCCCCAGCGTTCCCGCCGCCCGACTGCTGCGCGGGATAGAAGGAGGCGTGCTCAGAGGGCGATGGCGTCGGGGCCGACGGCGGTGGCCGGCCAGCAGTGGAGGCGCGCCCAGCAACCGGGGCATTCGGTGCCGGACGAGGCGGTCCCGTGGGAGAAGGGCTGCGGCTGCGGCTGCGGCTGCGAGCGCGCCGCAGGGGGGAAACCGGACCTCCGAGGATCGTCGCCTGGCGAACAGCAGTGCGGGCCGTGGGGGTCTCGTGCCGCGGGGAGTGGGGAGGGACGCTGGCCAGGGCTCCCAGTGCTAATCTGTAACCCGAACAGGGTTGTTTGGGCCTGTCAAACTCCCCTGTTCGGGACCAGAAAGCTCAAGTCCGAGGTGCCATTGTGCGGGCCAGAGAGCTCAGGCCTACCGGCAAACGGGCGGAAGGCCTATTTGTAGACCCACTCTGAGCAAGTTCTGGTTCCGCCTGGGCCTATCTAAACACGATATGCAACGGCGTTCGGGCCCAGTCCAAACATTAAATTTATTTAGAATTTCAGTTGCTTTTTTATTTTGTATTTTACTTAAATCCAACGCTTTACATGACTTAGAAGCTTTATTATTAAGTGACATAATAGGCTTTATTAATATTTATTGTAGCGCATCACATGCACTGATCACAAGTCTGCATTAATCACGGCATAAACATGGAAAAACAGGATGCACAGCGGTTATATGTACATTCATTTCTCAATATTTCGGCTCAATAATTTCGTAGTTAACATTCGCATCAGCTTTGCTCGAAGGCACATCCGACTTGATGGCATACAACTTCTCTCCCAAGTTCTTCTCCTCGGAAATATTTCGCAGCTTCAGTGGGTTCATGCGCGTGCTGGCAGCGGGCAGGCGTTCGGGAAAAATTTTCATCGGAAAGGGAGAATTTATGCGCAAGATCCTGAAATTAAATATTATATTTATTAGTCCACTTATTAGTAATAAAATAATGGTTTTATAATAATAAAATAATGATAATAATAATAATAATGATAACAATAATAATAAAATAATGATGTAATAAAATAATGATTTTATTACCTTTAATCAATAATTTATTGCATTTTGAAATTAATGAAATTGGACTACAAACAATTTGGATTTTCTTCGCAAACGAAAACTTCACACCCACAATTCAATACAGGTTCGACAATAATTAATTATTTAAAACTTAAAACAAGGGTAATAACGTGTCGCATCAGTAAAACTTTAGTAAAAAGAATTCCCAATGCAAATAAAATATACAGTATCTTTGATGTTTGCATGTTGATATTAATACTCAACACTGTATTCGAAGTACTTATAACGCACGCACCTGCATGGGATCATCTTGTTTTCTAATTTTCTAATATTTCACATGTTCCGGAACTTCCATGCTTGATCCTAAACCATGGGAGGCTTCGACAAGTTGGATCTTCAGTGGAAAAGAGGTTTTTGACAATCAGTGAACTGACGCAAGTCGAGAGCTGGCAAAACCACTAACCGTTGCAACAGCAAAGGCTTAACTCACACAATCACAGCGCAAAAACAGCAATCTTAACCATTTCCCAGGAGCAATCGTTATAAGTTTCATATATACAAAAATGCCTTCGTGATTACAACAATTCCGTAAAGCAAAAACAGAGGTCTGAGAAAAATCAAGTTGGGAACTTGGGAGAAGAGCAGTTTATAATTTATTGCTATAAGTTTGCAATTTGCAGAAACAATCACTACCAGCACTAACACGCTACACTGATGTGTAATAAGTACAGTATGGTGCGTCTACACTGCAGCAACGGTAGCACCGCCTCAAGCGCGGGAAAAGCAAACTACCCCGGCAGGCAGTTCAGATCGTCCATCAAAATGTTTCAGTACATTGTATTGTAATAATATTTATTTAATTACTTGCTGAATAATTTTGTTGATGTAATTTTGTTAGCTTTTAACTTGGAATTTGTGTAATTATTTATGATTTTCTGGGCCAGAATATTTCAGCACTACGCTGGGCAAGTTCTTCCCACGAATCTGAACCAGATCTGGCCCACAATACGTTGGCCCGGAAATGCCATTATCCTGGAACAGAAAATGCTCCGGATAGGCCAGAGTGTTTCGTGCCCCGATCGGGCTTGATTTCGTTTCTAGAAATTGCACTGGGCTGGCTGATTGTGGACACTGGAGAAGGCCAAGATAGAGGAAGAGGAAGGTGGATCGCTGACGCCGGCCTCCGTGGTGGGCATGTCGCTGGACTCGCTGCTGTCGGATGAGGATTTCTCCGCCATATCAGGAAAGAGTTTCAAACAACCAATCACTAACCTCCGACTGATGACACCCAGCTATCCCTGCAAACACACAATATCATTCGCTTGATTATTCAGTATTTTCGCCTGAAATTCCCTGATTAATAACACCATTTCGCAGCAACGCAAGCCAATAAACGCGCGAGAAACCGAGAAACCACAAAGCTCTACACTCGATTTTTGAAGATAGTGCCGTCAGAGAGATCCTGCATAACTTATCGATGGCCATAAAATGAATAAACGGTAAACCGTGTTCCATTCAGAAACTGCCAAACGCACTCACTTTGCAACAATTCAGGGAAACGGTTCACGACTTCAAAACTCTTGGAAAACAGAAAAAAGATAACCCGTGTACAGTCGGTCGTTGATTTGTTCACAGCTGGCTTGCAGAGTAGCAGTCGCTCTAAAATCAGATCGTAAACTGATAAGCAAAAAACTCCAGGGACCAGTGCACTGAGTGCAGCGACTCCATTGCACTGCCTGATGTCCATCCACAGCTAGCTGCAGTACTTACAAAGACGGCCCCGCCCAAACTGCGTGAGGTGGCAGCTACTTGTGCAATTCACGGAAAAGCGGCTGCTGCTCTGTAAATGCAACCAGACTTCAACCATTTACCCGTCCAACCAAAATTGTGAAAGAAGTACTTAATGCCTACAAAACGATGTAAATAAATCACTAATAGAAAACTACAATAAAATTTGGTATTGCAGTGGTTAAAAATGGACCACCTGGTGGAGCAGCGGATGATTGCGGTGGCCATTCAGTACACGCGGCGGCTTCTTCCTCTCCACTGCACGACCGCCCCCCGGTGACGGCGACAGCATTGTCCGTTTGTCCGATGCCTGATTGTCATCCTTTTAATTACATCCGAAAGAACAATGTTTTTTTTTCCGAAAGAGCAATGTTTTTCAACATTGCAGAAACTTAAATTAAACCGACAATATACAAAGGTCTCATTTTTTTAGGAATTGTTTCAGAAAAGTAGGCGGGTTTGACGATTGGCCAGGAAAAGAAAATTTGATTTTACTCATTTTTGACAAAAATTGTTGCTGTTCAGTTAAGGACATTCATGTAGCTTACGTTATCGTTTCGGGTCTAGGGGTTGGTTGTTTCTAGTTTTTTTTAGCGGAAGGGATCTGTAAAATTTATTTAAATTTGAATAATACGGTATGCTGTAAAATAATGAGAAAACCTGAATAAAATAAATAAAATGAATTTGATGTTGGCAGTATGTTTGACAAATTACAAAAACTCTAATAATATTGTAAACGAAAACGTATTTAACTGGCAATGAAGACAAAATTTTAAATCACCCATAGAAAAATTAAATCGATTTTTTTCTTATTAGCAAATAGCAATGCATTATAAAAATAAAAAATGCCAATAAAAATTGCGAAGAAAGCCCGTGATAATTATGCCCTGTTAAGTTAAAGTTTCATTAATAACTTAAATCTAACAAATAATTAATATTTGGATATTTTTAGTAACTGCAGAAAAGAACACCAAAAACCGAAACTATATGCCAGAAAAAGCATGAAGTAATTATTGTTATTTTGTAGCAATAAACAGGTACGTTCATTAATTATTTTATTGTTAATGCCGCAGCACAAACAGACAGCATTTGTCATGCCGGTAATTGTTGAAGTCAAAGAATAAAAATTATTCAAAATAAAGCATAAATAATTATAATAATTGAAAATAAATATCGTTTTCTATGAAACTAGAAATAATCTTAAGAATAATTTTAAAAGGTTGGGAAAAAATTGAAACAGTCCACATGCAGATAACTGAAAGTCTACGATACGATCGGAACCAGCAATCGCAAAATTGCTAATGTTATTATTATTAATGTTATTAATATTATCATAATAAATACGGTAATACACTAGATCCCGAGCAATTCGTGAACCGGAAGTGCTACTGCTGTAACTGCATCACTGCATTGTTTTAACAGGTAGCAGCCATCAAATAACAAAAAGGCAGGCTCGGGCACACTACATCACACTCAAAGTTTAAACATTAAAAAACTGTTTCAATTTTAAATTAAAATTTGAACAATAAAATTAAACATTGCATCACTTACTAGTTAGACTACTCAGTAAAATAAGCGTTTGATAAGAGTACGTATAGCATTAAACCGATTAAACGCATTAAACCGAGCTGGTAAAAAAAATTAATAAAAACTGGAAACTGACAATATTCCACACTTGTACTAGTACTGAACCCAGAACGTATGATACAGTGCAACTACAACCGGACCGTGATACATAGCCGGTTCAAAATAAGTAGGGAAAATATATATAATATTATAACTTACTTGTTCGCTGCAATGAGTGCCGGTCAGAGACGCACAATATTAAATATCATGTGTCGACCGGATATAGTATAAGTACCCGGGTACATGGCACCAAATGCCGTGCGCAGGTACTGCAGGAACGAAAACCACTACGAGTATTCTAATATTTTTGCGGCACCATGTACCGGGCACTTCCCTTGATAAGAATGAGATCTCGCCGGCACAATAAAAATTATTAGATTAACATAAACCCAGTAGCATGTGCTCAAACTGTGTGAATCTGCAGCAGTACACAATCGGCCGGCACACGTACAAATCGCCAAAGGGAATTCCCGAGCAGTTTCAGTGCGTTAATATTAATTTTATCTGCTTCATTAACTGCAAAACTTATTAATAATCCACTCAATCCAGTAACACTTCCGGCACAAGTACACACTTGGATCTAATCCCGGGATTTGCAGTTTTTATTACCTAAATGTATCACGCACTACCACTTCCGGTCTACAAGTTTGTTCTGATTTTATTCTGGGTTTTTCTTGGGCTTACAAGATACGTAGTTAGTAGAATTTGTTGTACGTCTGATATTATGTATATTTTTAATAAGATTAATCTCGTGGTACTTGCTACTTCCGGTCCTTAATTTCATTCTGCATTTTTCATAGTATTACTTTGTTGTTAAAATTATTATCCAAATTTAAATAGCGCGGTACCACTTCCGGTCCACAATTTATTCGGCATTTATGCATGTTAGATTTACTTGTACTTGAACATTTTTTTTTACTGTCTTCACTCAACAATGTGCCATAAAATTATTAGAAAACACGAATAAAATAATCAAAACGTATTTAACGGTGGCAGTATGATCTAACTTTCGGAACAACTCCAATAAAAATTCGTAAAAAACTGTGTTAAATTCTTATTGCATATGGCAGCGGCAACAAAAATTTAAAAATGCACCAATAAAAAAAATAAAAAAAGTTTATTGTTGGTAATGTGTAATTAAAATTAAAAAAACGCCAATACTACGGTCAAAATCACGAAAGAAAGTAGCCCGTCATTGTTATTTGCTAGCAAACTGTAATTTGATAAAAATTTATTTCTTATAGGCACATATTATTCAATAATTTTTAGTTACTTATTTATTATTTTATTTATTAATATTTTTTAGTTATTTTATTTATTGTAGCTTATGAGAGCACTAAAAGACCGAAGAAAATGCCAGAAAAAAGTTGTTAATAATAATAAATAATTATGTTTACTATTTTTTCATTATTGCGTACTATTAGCATTGTTACTTTCGAGCCGGCACTCGAGCAATGACCAATATGAGTCATGACAACTGTTGCCGCCATGCCGGTGTTGCGTCCAACTGTAACGCTTACAGCATTGCCGCTGCACAAACTGCTCAGACTTTGGATGCAGATAATTACTGTGTTAAATTAAAAAATAAATAATGTAAATAAAAATTAGTATGAAGAATAGATAATTATTAAAATGAAAAATAAACAATATTATTTGTGAAACCAGAATAATCATTATTAGTTTTAATACGTAAAATAAATTAAAAAATAAAAAGTTCACGTGCAGAAACTGGAAATCCGTGTTGCGATCTGCAAAAGCAATCGGAAAAATTTGTTTCGAATTTTCCAGTTTCAACTGTTAATTTTTTTGTATACTCGTACGGCGTTCAAAATGGCAGCACTCTGAGCACAATTCTTTTTTTATTATTTTATTTACACCAGTGCTGTAATTTAGTTTTACCGTAGAGATTATAATAATTTTATTAATATTTTTGCCTGAATAAATTATGATTTACGATTTCCTAAATAAAAAAAAATTAATTTAACCAAAAATGTCCCAAATTTACCCAGAAGTCAATAACGTTTTTTTAAATAAAATTTTTCTGACTTTGCTGTTAATTTCTGCAGTTCTGTGCGATGAAAATTAAAATGTTAAAAAAACAGTTGTACTCAACTGACTTGTGAGTAATAATTGAAATAAAAGAATAAAATATTCCTAGTAAATTTAAATTTTCATCGCACAGAAGTGTAGAAAGTAACGGCTACGTCCACAATTAATGGCAATAATATCCAGCGATTAACCCACAAATAGAACAATTGTGCCGATTACACAATACACTTCATTATCGGCTTTCGTTGTCGGTTTCCCATGGCCAGGACATGGTTGTGCAATGCCGCACTTGGCAGCGATTGCGAAATGGCCGCGCGCATTTTCAAAATATCCGAGTCGGCGTTTTCGCGGAAAAACAGGCCGGTTCATGATCAGACAAGTGGTGTGTGTATTGTGTAGTGTGTACGCAATTTTGTTCAGTGCGTATGACCGCGCAGTCAGCATACCGATTCGCGGCTGAAAATTTGAATGCCCAGCCGCCGCTTCTGATTGGCTGCTGCGGTTATCCTGCCACGCTATTCGTACAAGCGGCTGCACTGTACACGTGCGCATACGCTCGTACGCCGACTTCCGTGTGGATATGCGCAGCGGCTGCCGTGCTGCGTGTACACAGCACGGCGTACACTATCGCGCAACACCCGGGGCAATTTCTCCGCCCGCGTGTAGCCGACCGAGTTGCCTCGTTGCGGCTGCGACGACGCCATCATCAGCACACGGCATTTCATTTTCATTTTCAAGCAACTGAATCGAAAAGCGTTGGGCTGTCTCGTCGGGAGAAGCCGGTTCGTCGTGTTTCGTGCGGGTTTTCGGGGTTTTGGCAGCGTCCATCGGGCTGCTTCGTGGTTTTCCGTGATTCTTGTTTGTGTGAAGTTTCGGTTTTCTTCCTAGTCCATCTCAGGTACGTGGATTTGAAGTTTGTAGAATTATTTTTGTGGTAGATTGCTGCGTAGAGAGCCGCGGTGATCCGTGTGGGTCCTCCGCGGAAAACCGATTTCCTCGCTGCTGTGTTGACTTTTTCCCGTTGATTTTGTAATAGAAAATTCACAGACTGTTTAAAGGTAATTAATCAGCAAAATTTTTCCGTGTAACTGTAGTGATTTTGCGAAATTTCAATTTGAAAGGGATAGGAAGATTACGGCTTGGGTCGCCGCCGTATAATGGGATTTCCCCAATGTTTTTTCCTTTCCCTGTTCTTTTTTCAATTTAATTGCGATGTGATCAGGATGCTGATGGTGTGGAACGCTTGTATGTAGAGATCAAGGCATTCCAACCATGGATAGCGACTATTCTGGTGGCGGACGTTCGTTCGGTCCGCGGCGGCAGCTTCCAGGGTACGCCGACCCGGGATGAAGTCGGGTGGATTCCGGCTGCATGTCGGCGGCATCGCCGACAGGGTGAGCGAAAACAGGTCCGTCAGACCTTCCAGAAGGTGGGCAACGTCAAGGACCTGTGGATGTCCACTAACAGCGACTCGCCGCGTTTCGGCTTTGTGGTCTTCGAGGACCAGGGTGATGCGGAGAACGCCATCAGCAATGTCAGCGGACAGGAGCTGGGCGGATCCGAGCTGCGTGTGGCCTGGGCCAAGCCGCGTGACCAGCGTAGCGGCGGGGGACGTCGTGGAGGATACGGCGGTGGCGGCGGCTACGGAGGCGGTGAGTTGCCGAAAATTCGATTTTTTTTGAATTTTTTATTGAATTTATCGGTGAAATTTTCGAGTTAATATTTAGCCGTTCAGATTTTGAAATTACATTTATTTAATCACAATTTTGAATTCATTTTGATGATTTAATTGCCGAATTTTTCCCGTAAGAAGAATTATTTTTTAAATTTATTCAATTTAAATGCCGATTTTCTGTTGATTTTATTTTGGTCATAATTCAGTAGTGCAGTAATTTTATTGCTGAATTGTTTGGGTAGGATTTCAGAAATTCAAATTTCGAATTTTTCTTAATTTTCGTGTACTGACTTCCGCATAAAATTTCCGTGAAATCGATTAATTTTCCCATGGTGCTGCGATAAAAATTTGTCAGATTAATCTTAGGCCACGCACATATTTTAGCCGTATTTCTCATGGTTCGGGTAAATTAAATCTAAACAATTCCGGAATTTTAAAAATATTATTTTTTTATTGCATTTGAAAATTCGTCTAAAATTGATCAATTTAAGATGAAGAAAATTTGAATGAAAACTCAAGCCGGTGATCGATTTAATCAGTATTTATTCTACGCTTATTCAGCGCTTTGTTAATGTGAATGATAACGTGTTACGAGATGGGATATTCTGGAGATACTTTCTGAATTTATTCTGGTTGATAATACGTGCATCATCCGGTGTCCTCAGTGGCCTCAACCGGTGGTTGTTGTCTTGTGTAGGCGGCGGGTATGGTGGCGGCGGCGGGGGATACGGAGGCCGCAGTGGAGGTTACGGTGGCGGAGGGGGCGGCGGCGGCGGCGACCGCTCGTGCTACAAATGCGGCCAGTCGGGCCACATTTCGCGTAACTGCCCGGAGAACGACGGGGGCAGTGGCGGCGGCGGCGGAGGCTATGGCGGCCGCAGCGGGGGATACGGCGGCGGCGGGGGATATGGCGGCGGCGGCGGCCGGGGAGGTGGCGGCGGCGGCGGGGACCGTTCGTGCTACAAGTGCGGCCAGTCGGGGCATATTTCCCGCAACTGTCCGGAGAACGACGGCGGTGGCCGTGGCGGTTATTAGAGGACCCCCTTCTTCTTCATCCAGGCATCCTCCCCCATCGTATCATCCGTGTTTAAGCTCGTGGGTCGTTTTTTAACTTCCATTATATTTTTTTGATAATAATGTCCGTTTAGCGCTTTATTTTCGAGCTGAAGAATTCCTCTCGTAGTACGTGTGCGTGTTTGTACGAAGCCGCACCGGTTGTTTGTTACGTATAGAATTTCCGTTTTCCGGCCTTGACCAAAAAAGAGAAATCTTCTCTCTCTCTCCGCGGTGGGTGGGAGACGTGTTTCTGCACGCACAAATGATTCTTGGCGACATGGTTGTTTGTTACGTCTGTGGAAAAACGCGCTCCTTATTGCGCTGTGTGTAGCTCGGAGATATGATGTTTTTGACGAATACGTGGCTGTTTCTCTTTTTGTCCGAACGCAGTTTTGAGTCTTGGTGTACAGAGGAGCTCGGTTTAACTTAGTATTATTCTCTCTTCTTCGATAAAGTCCAGTTCTCGTGTGTGGCGTGTGCTTTCCGGTAATTCCATAGGAAACGCGTACAATTAAATTAATGGTGAATTTATTCGTGGTAAATACGGCAATAAAAGCATAGGAATTTAATAGCAGAAAAATTGGGAAATAATTTATTTTAAATTGGGGAAAATTGGAATTTGCTGATCTGCAATTAATCAATTGGATGTACTGGTGCTTTAAGAAAGTAAAACTAAATTTGCCGTTTTTTTGCGGATAATTACATGATTTCAAATAAATAATGGTACAAAATAAGCAACAACGAAAACCCAAAAAAAACCATTTATTTGTGAGGAAAAAATTAAAATCGCGGCATTTTAGCGAATCATTTGGGTTTGATTTTAACAGCGCATATTTGACAACTGGTACCGTTACGAAAAATAATTGAGAAATTATTTCCTGCGTATTTTTTGCGCTTCGATATTTATTTTATCAGCATTTCTCATTTTTCAGATTTTTCTGCTTTCACGAGCAAATAAAATCGGTAAATGCAGGTAAAATTAAAGCGGCGCATACAGTGAATGTCCAGTACGTAACACTGCAAACCGAAGGCTGCCCACAGAGAACAGCGCTGAAAGAGTCGCATTCAGGCACTTGACAGCGCTGAAATCAGTTCAGAATTTTTGTTTGGTTTTAGCATTTAAATTCTAATTAATCTTTAAATTAACATCGTGATTTGTAGCTCAGAATAGTTAATATCACCAAACCGAGATGAATTTGCATTTTTTATTCCTGCGCATCAAAAAAGTACGGAGCAACAAAAGCAGCGCATATAGCGAATGCACAGTACACAACTTCCGGCTGCCGTCGTCAGTGTGAAGGCGTACAACGGAGACAGCATGGCCCGCGCAGCGTTTACCCCTACCCCACTTGTGCACTGGCCGAACGCAAACACGTTCGCCGTTCTGCCAGTCTTTGTTGTTGTCCGACGCGGTTGGCTCGTTTCCAGTTTGTCTCCGTAGATTCCGCCGTATATTCCCGTTTAAAATCTATCTTTTATTTTTTTAATTTTAAGTTTTTAATCCGGATGCCCCGATGCCCGCCGTGGCCCGTGCCGCTGGTGTCAATGGCCCGTCTGCTGACGCTGCTCGGCAGCAGCAGAGCAATGGACGCAGCGTATCCGGTAAATCCCCTGTTTGACTGTGTAGCTGAGCGCATTATTTACGAGAATCTTGTGTGTTTGTGGAGCGTCCTCCCGGCCGCGTTTTGGCCCGGACCCGCAGCGCGATGGCCGCGCGGTGGTTGAGACAGGGGAGTCGTTGGCCTGGACGCCGTCTGCGTCGTCCGCGCTGTCGGCCAGCAGGATCGCTGAACTGCGGCGCTCGCTGTTCATTCCTGTCTGCCCGACGAGATCGAGCTGAACGAGCTGGCCGCGCGTCTCACGCTGCTCGGGAATATTCAGGAGATTATTATCAAGAGGAATCTGCGGGTAAGTTTTGCCAATACGGATTTATCATTTTTTTGTAGATTTTAAAAAAAATAATCTGCTTGAAAAAATGTGGAAGTAATTCAGTTATTGATTTAATTAGTCATTTTTTATTCGGTCGAATTTCGTCGCCATTTTCCGTTCTCGATTTTGCGTGATGTGGTATTGGCCGTGTTGCCATAGTTTTCCGCTGTTCTTGCCATTTTTGAGATGCGGTGGTTGTCATGGTAAATGACCGTAATTTTCTTGAGAATTTGCTCCAACCAACGACTTTTTAATAATAGCGTCTGTGGCCCTGCTACAACTATGGTAACATGCGCAGCACCGCAAATAATTTTTTGCCAAACGTTTGAATTATTTTATTATTTTCGTACGTGCCAATTGGCAATTCAAATTTTGCTCCGAAAATACGATTTTTATTACAGCATTATTTTGGTCGGCTTTCGTTGAATGTTCAGTTTTTGGTAAATCCTGTTTTTAATTAGGAAATAATTTTTACTCGCTGAAAGCGGATTGTGGTAAATTGAGGCGTATTTTAGCACGTTTTTTCTTCGATTAATTTGAAAAAGGGATTAATTATTAATAATTATTGATCAGGTGATTTGCAAATTATGAATCAATTATTATGCAAATGCAGTCGATTATTCGGTGCATTTCTTGTTGGTCGCTTATCTATTTTCATTTATTTTTGAAATTATTCTTGTAGTCGTGCCTGGCTTCCTAATTATTACATAATTACTTGTGAATTCAGAGGTTGCCCATCTCCATTTTTTTATGGGAATGGATCCCATTTTTTCCCCATTTACCATTTTTCTATACTAAAATGGTATGGATGGGAAAACTGTATTTATGGATGGAGATGGATGGGAAAAAGAAGAAATGGGCGGAAATGGGAAATTTAGGAAATAGGATAAAAATGCCGGCAAATTTCACAAAAACCCCCGACACCTTCGCGCTTCGCGCGAAATCGTAATAATTTTAAATGGTACGATCAAGAAAATTTAGGCGAAAACAGCGCTGAATTCACGCGTCGTGTAAAAAGCTGATTACCAACGCGGCTTTCCGCCAACCGGTGTCAAGTAAGTTTTTGGTTGTACGTTTAAATTTTATTTTTAAAAAATGGGACGCTGAAATGGGGATGGAAGAAAATGGGCCTGGTCCAAAAATTATGAAACGGAGATGGGTGGGAAAAACTGTAAGAAAATGGGGTATGGATGGGATATGGAAAAAACAGAAATGGGCAACCTCTGCAGTTGTGATTTGTGAAGTAACATGACATGGCATGACGCATTAATTCTGCGTTTGTGAGGTTTATTCCAGACGGATCGAACCGAATCTATTTCTTCAACCATTAATAAAATTTAATTCTTAAAAATTGCCAAAGATGTGTTAGTACTTGTTCGGTTTTTCTGGTTCGTTTACGGATTACAGAGTGCTTGTAAAATTATTTTTGTACCGATTTCTTTTTTGTAGAAGTGACTCGCATTTGTACTAATTTAAACACATTTGTAATAATTTTGTGTAAGTATTTGCTAGATTAATCACGTAGCAGCTAAAATTCGAAACAGATCTAACCGAATTATTTTTTCAACCATTAATAATTTATTTCTGAAAATTGCCGAACACTATCCGCTCGATTTTCGAATCGCCGAATCGGATCAATTTGTACAAAGCGTGCCGTGTGGAAATTTTAGATACTTTGCGCAAAACGCAGCCAGAATTAATTGATTTAATTTTGGAATTATGTAATTTATTTGCCGGCGACCTGGCGGTGCGCCGATAAGAATCCCGTTGCGTGAACAGTAAGTAATTATATAATTGGCAGGCGGTGCGCTTCTGCATCGTCGTCTTCGTGGAGGAGGAATCGGCGTTCGACGCGCTGCAGGCCGGCCTCGTGGTGCAGGAGCAGCGCGTGGCCATGGAGCCGCGCCGGTCGCCGGACGGCCACCCGCACCCGCCGCGGCTGCCCCGCGACACGCCCACGCCCCTCATCGTCCAGCGCGCCCCCGGTGGCCGCGGCGTCCCCCTGTCCGTGCTGCCGGCGGGGGTGCCGGTCCTCAGCCAAGAAGAGGCTTACGAGCACCACCGCACGGGACGGCCCCCGGGGGCGGTGGCCTTCCGCGCCCCCGTCCTCCACAGCTGGCTGGAGCTGGTGGAAAAGAAGCAGCAGCTGGCGGTGCCCGTGGTGCCGCTGGCCGGGGAGGCCGTCCAGCGGAAGAAGGCGCTCCACCACAAATTCTCCTTTCTCACCGAGACGGATGATGTAAGTAAA